GCATCGCTCCTACTGACATGATGACAAAACTGTATCTATTCCCCCTTACTTTCTACCCTTCTGCCATTGTCTCGTTGGTCGACCAAAAGGTCAGCGATGACTGTGCCCTTTTTTGCATATCACGTGAAGCTCTGAGGTAATCACAAGTTGTCTTGAACATCACTTTTACAGCCTGATAAAAGTACTAGTTACACATCATTAATTCTGTTTTGCTGCACCTCCATGATGAGCAGGCGCCAGCACTGTGAACAAATCGAATCTACGCTGCCAGAACTGATAATAGCCTACATGGAACAGCAGACTTCTCTTGAAAATGACAAAGTATTGACCTTCTCTATTTCCAATATAAGCCTGTGGCAGTTTCCAAAATTATTTGTGAAACCTCAGAAGTGTATCCCAGAGAACTGAAAGGGAAGGTGAATAATCAGAGGCCGTTCCTTGAAGGCACATTCCGCGCTGACCAGATCGCTAGGGCAACCGCACCCTCCTCATTAGGGACCCCTCCCCTCCAGGATGGCAAAAAAGGAGTGCTCACGTGAGGCAGAGCACTGTCAAGAGACCCCCCTCCCCACCCATATCACATACACAAAACACAATCAGTAGAATGACTCCAAATTCTGCATTATCTCAAAAACCTCACAGTAGTCTTCTTCGTGTAGCCCTTTCCTGCAGATTTCTTTGAGCTTTTACTACCTAATCGACGACTTTTGCGCCTCCCGACTTTTACAGAGTAGCTAAAAAATCCTGTAAATATAGAAAATCGCTCACAGCGACTGGGGACGGCATTTTGCACTTTCAGTGTCTACTAATAGTCTGGTCAGCCAGTCTCACCCTGGGCGAAACTGTGAAGGTTCGTGGATTTTTAGCAAAGCTTGTCAAGCCGGCACCAGTCCGTCAGGCTTCTTTTGTGGCTGGTCACATGGAATGGGAAGTAGCAAAAGTGCAAAATGCCCCCCCCCCCTCGCCGAACTGCGCACCTTCCGCGCTCAGTGCAGTGAACGAGAGGCCACTTGGTCTTTCTGAGGAGTTTCGCACCCAAAAAGGCGATTTATCGAGCCTGGAAATCAGCAGCGGTGGACATTTCGCCAAGAAGGTTAGCCGCCACGAAACATTTCCAAACTAGGGTTTGAATTCCAGGGAAAATCATAAAAACATCCAATTACGAATCTCTTTCTTTGTTCTGATAGTAGAGGATTGAGCTCGTCATGTCATTAAGGTGTGTACAATCATCCGTAAATCCTCATTGACCCTGTTTCAGGTTCTATCCTGGCTATGACGCGCATTTCGCGTCAAATCCTTACACTATCTTTATTTTTATTATTACGATTATGTTCAGCCAGTGGGAAGCACAACGTTCATCGACTCAGAAGCTGTTGAGTGTTTCAATGTTTTGGCTTACTTTTTTCAATTTTCTCTAGTTTATTACTTGCTCATCAATTCAGGGAGCCTAGGTGATATTGGTGGTGAGTTCCACGAATTCCTCTCTCAGTCATAAATTCAGTGACCTTCGATTTGTCTTTCCCTTGTCGTCCATGCCCTCCCTTGTCCGTCAACTGTTTCCAAGTGTCTATAGTAACAAAACTCAAGCTTTTTACCGATCCTTTCGAACTCCGTTTGGTTCCGTCAATCAAAATCTCAAGCTGTAATTGTAAGTATGAGCAATAAGTGAAACGATGGGCATAGAGAACGAAACTTGAGTTAGTTGAGAAGATTTCAGGAGTATTGCTACACTCCAAATCCCTGAGATGTGGTAGGCGGGCTGCGTACTTCAACTAAAAGTGGCGCTGGCTGTGCTTCTGGAGAGATATTTTCATTTTGACACAATTGTGGTCACGTCTCTGTCCAACACTGAACAAAATGACAGTTGTCTCAAAGTGAAATATCCCACGAGTAACCCATTCTATACCACGTTCAAATGCCACGCCTACTCCGTCTCAGGGATAACGAGTGTATCTCATTGGGCGGATAATTTTCCATCTTTTCAACAAGTACGATAAAATCAGCTATACCCGCTTCTCATGCATTATACGATATCCTTCGGAAAATTCTCACTGCCAAGAAAATTTTCTCAACAGAGTTAGAAAGGTCGAATAAGGCAGTCCAGTGGAACATTGGCGATTAGTTCCACCGTTCAAAGATATGTTATTCGCTCAATCAATTGAATCAAAACTCCTGGTGGGAAAAGGTAGTGTGGACCCCAGTGGACAACCTTGTGCAAAGTCCGCGTCAGAGAGTTGTAAGGTAGAGGCGCTAAGAGTGCAGAGTTGCTTAGGTGACTCCGCCCGCTTTACTAGCTATAATATCTGTCGTCTTACTCAATTGCATGCTCTCTCGCTGCGCTTGTCTGGTCTTTCTTCAAACATCCTCATTGGTTCATTGTCTCTCCCCTGGAATAGAAAGGGGGCTCATTTTAGGCGTTTTCGGTGGGTCCCTTTGCTTTCCTTTTTTCTTGCTTCCTTCCTTCCTCCCTTCTCTGATCCCTCCTCCTTTACCTTCTCCCTCAACTACTGGACTGGTAGATGCCTCGAGAAAATACCCTGGACCCTCGCAGCGAGAGCACGTCTGGTTAACAAGTGCCCCGTAACCGTTCGCGCTTGCGTGAAAAGCAGGGCATGGCCTGACTCCAAGAGAATTTCGGCTCAGTATGACCCCCACCCCAAACAGCTCTTCTCCGGTCGGCTTCCCTTCCACAGCCGGCCGTTATCTTCCCAAGCGCCTCCCGAAAATTCGCCGTCGGGGGGGGGTACCGCGTGAAACGGAAAAAACCAAAATCTGAAATGAAAACTTATAGGCCAATGTAGCGCCTCCTTTGCGAAGGTCGCGCGCTAAAATCCCCATGGGATGCCTCTTTTGCCGCCACCCCCATTGCTCTCCACCAAGAAACGTTAGTTCTTCTTCCTCTCTGGCAGTACTAAATGGGCCCAGAAAGTTGGTCAAACTCTTCTCGTAATTCCAAATGACACCAGGTGACACACCCACACATCTGGAACTTCTGGAGGAATTGTTTGACTCCTTCATGCAAGCTAAAGGCCTGAAGGGGGCTCAAAACTGCTATGTTCCTCAAACGAATCCCTTCGCTTCTCTCATGGAAAGCCTCGGAGCAGAGCTCCACATTACAATGGGAGGCCATTTTTATGCTGCCTCGTAGGACATCCTCAGAACATCCACGATGAATCAGATTCGTGAAACAGCTTGCAATAGCTGCAACAGCTTCAATTTACTTGGTGCTTCGACTAATAGATTGGTTGAGTGCCGAAATTATTTAATTACACCGTTTTCATAGATGGCTCAATCCATTTCGACAGTGCCCCGGGGCCGTTTAGTGAAATTGCTTCTTCGCCCCGCCCACCACTCTGGTGTTCACCAACGAGTCCGCGACGCTTGCGGTCTGAATGCGAACGCCTACGGTAGCTGCATTTTTACTGTTGTCGTTATTTCCATGGATTACGGTACCCACAAGTCACTACTGGAGGTCATCTGGATGTCAGTCGACTCTGTCAAACTCTGATTGTTGTAAGTTTTTCGATTACCGATCAATAACCGCGCTGATATCGTTGGTTTTGGCACGGTGTAGTGCACGAGATACGGCATTGATAACACTGAATGTGGTTTTCAGCGGAATGCACAGGTATGAGACTAGGGTTTTTGAAGTGATCTTCAGGTTTTATGTGGTAGACTGCGAGATTGATTCTATCAGGCTGAAGGCTACGGTATAGGATGACGCCTTCGAGATCGACTTTTCAGGGGTCTGGAACCGAATCACTTCTTAGAAACCACTAGCTCACTTTTTCCGAAAGATCAGAATCTCAGTAGTGCTTTTCATGTTGAATATTTCGAAGCAGCTTCCTAGACGAGTAGGATCCCATCTCTTTGTTCAGAAGGATTTTTGATATCCAAGTGCTTGCTCTACCTCTGGAGCGGAGCACACACTGTCCTTGGCTCTCTTTCTGCAGCTCGGCACATCGATCTAGGTCTTCAATTCTCTTTCTAGAACAAGCCCGTCGTGGAGATTCAGAAGGTTCTCATCCAATACAATCCCTCCCGCTTCCACTGGCAAAAATCTTTGCAAAATGCGACCTTGCCACCCAACTTTCCTCCTCTGGTACAACTTCCCCCCTTTTCCGTTACCTACCATCTTCCTAAGCTTTCCCAACCCCCTATCACTTTCAAAATTTTCTTAGAGCTAGGAACAACCCTCCTTCTCGACGAGCAGATACTGCCTTCATGCAATAGGAAACCGCAATCGATCCCACTGATCCCACTTCCACTGGGGAAATACGAGACCCAAGACCGCTGTCGAATAGGACTCCTTCGGATTCATCGGCGCACCGTGTCCTGATGTGGCGAAAGCTATGCAATGGATTAAAAGCTAAAAGGGGCCGGGATCCTCCAGAATAAGACCCCTGCTAGTTTCAGCACGGCATACGGTGAAGAAAGCGTAAGCGTGCAAAAAGAAATAGGCGGCGAATTGATGAAAAGTAGGCAGACGAGCTCGTCTACAACACCATCGTGACACAAAATGAAGGGGCGATGGTCGACTTCTGGGGAGCCATACAACAGTGGTACACCTCCGGCATCCTACTAAGCACTTTCGCGGCGCAAAAATAGTAAATCTTCGGCGACTGCAGGCTGCGCCACCTTGTGCAGGACAAGAATTCCGCAAGCACTATCGGGCTGTGCCTTTGAAGCGAAAGGTAGTTTAGGGCTGAAATAAGGATACTTAAGTCCATATGGTTTTCAAAGCTCTATGAATGTGGTGTGACAGTTCTTTTTCCTAGTGTAGCCTCCGTGAATGTAATCATCTCCCAAAGCTACCCACCAATGTGCCCTGTAGGTGAAGCGCCAGTAGACCGAATTCCTCCATGCAGTCTTCTTACCTAGTTGTATCCATTACAATAACTTTTTATCGGTGAGTTTCCGTGTTTCAGTCTGTTCCGGAACGAGCAATGGGCGTTCGTTAGCCGGCTCAGAGAACCGTATCCAAGATCTCATAACGATGTATGAAGAACTGCACGCGGGTGTACGGTAACGTGGAAATTACCCACTTGACGAAGACGACCTTGACGAATTGGACAGATGCCGAGTTCAGCAAGAAACTCAAGATATTCGAGCATATTCAAGAGGTAAAGTGAATGATCATGCTTGAATGTAACGAGCAAGAGCTTCATGATCTCCTGTGGGTGCAGCTTGTAGTTGAGATGCAGATTATGACTTGGTCACTCCATCACCAGGCTGTCGAGCCTTGGATGCCGGAACAGGGCATAGCATCGTAGTGAGGGAATGGCGGTGTGTGACCACCTCTTTCTCCTGGCCATCCCAGAGTTCTTTCTCAATCTACGACTTCCTTTTCCTCATCGTAGGCTATGTTCATACTTTGCGGCAGCGTCTACCAGCGACTAGCGTCCACCAGCGTCTCGAGGGCAAGGGAAGTATACGTATCGATTTAGCGTCTGCCGGCGTCTACCAGCGTCTGTCGTCGACTAGCAGTACAGTGCTAGTAGAGAGTATAGGACGATGGGGTGGGTACCAGCCGTCTGCTACCTTCCTATCTCCCATACTCAACCAACTGTCGGCTACCACCGATCGCGCCATACTTCTCCGCTCTCGGACGCTGCTGGTCGCTGATAGACACTGGCAAACGCTGGCAGACCCTAGTTCGATACCTATAGTTCCCTTGCCCTTGAGAGGATGCTGGTTGCTGGTGTATCACTAGTAGACGCTGGGAAATCGATATCTATACTTTCCTAGTCGCTGACGCTGCAGATGCTCGCAACGCTGGTGGCTGTCGCAAAGTATGAACGCAGCCTTGCCTGCCATACCTCTACCTCCTTCCAGGTTTTGAAGAAATCCTCTGGTTTTTCCAAAAAAAAAACGTAGAGAGCAGATGCGACACCCATTGAGCAAGTACACCCACCTCCCCCCCCCCTTTTTTTTCAAAGCAACCAAGTAGACCCCTGATGGGATTGCCTTAACGATGCTGTGTTCTGTGAGGAATACGTTCTTCACGTGATTTAAGTAGACTTTTTCCCAGTGCTTTGGGAGCAGATGAGACACCAATTCCTGTATTGAACGAAACCAGATTATGGACCAACGGACCAATAGAATTTTGGCGATTTCCTGATTTTTTTGTATTTTTTTACCCTTGTAGTAAGTTCTGAAGACCATCATTACAGATCAAAGGTTATCTCCTGGTTTACAACGTCGATATACGAAGCATCGATTTTCCTAATCTGAAGATTATATGGGGAGATGATTTATTGGATGACAACAGTGCGCTTACTTTGAGTAGTAATCTCGAGCTAAAGGAGTTACGAATGCCAAAATTACGAGGTAAATGAGCGCTGCTGTCAATATCCACTATCTGAGGGAGTCCATATCACGGTGCTGGAAGGGGAGTTTCTACGGATGAGAGCGACGGTGGTAGATAGTTGCTTCAGACAGCTCTCTGTCTCCTATACCTAAAATCGTCGAAAGTCCTGCCACCGTCGCACTCCGTACATAACCCACCATCCAACTACGGAATACACTTGGTGATGTCGCAGACCGGCGGGGCCGTGGCAAGAGACTTGGAATGAGCCCACCAGCGACGTTTTCTACCTTTGGTTGTTTTCTCCCTGACTGTTCACTAGCGGAAGAAAGCATAGCTAAAGACGGGCTCATTCGACTTCTCTTGCACCGCCCCGTCGGATTACGACGATATCAACTATATGGACTCACTTAGGTAGCACACTTTCAAAGCTGCCATTAGTACTCTACCGGGTTGATTGAGTCCTGCAAGCTGACTGTTTCTCCGTTTAGCTATTCACAAAGGAAATGTTCGGATTGAGAACAGCACATTTCTGTGCTACTTGCAGTCGAAAATCAACTGGGATGAGGTGAGTGGTGGCATGGTCACCGATTCTTTCATGGAATTTTAATTCACAGCTTTTTCTCCCCAAGCGTTGGCAAGAAGTCAACATCTCAGTCTTAAACCTGATGTTTTTGAACGAAACATGCGCTAATAACCTTTGAGTGGCTTCTAGAGGACCCCTTGTGCAAAACCTTGAAATTCCCGCGAGCGCGGCTAATTTTTTTTTGCCAACACAGTGGGAGAGGCTCTCAGACGTTCGTACGGTTGTGAATTGCTCCTGTTTGTGGCTCGCCTGAGGAATCTCGACCACACGGCCATATTCTCGCGAGCCAACTGCGTGAAGACTTTCTGCAGCTGCAATTCAATGAAAGCCATTCACCTCTTTTGAACAAAGCTGCAAGTAGAGTCCAAAATAGAGCAGTATTTTTCCAGTTACTCGAATTTGACGCGGAAAATCGTCTTATCACTTCTGATTCGGCATTTCGACAGTGTAATCCAGCATTAATGAAGTGTACAGGTTGTGAGCACTGCTGGAGTGGAAAGGCTAAATATTGTCAAGAAGGTTTGTTGTCAGAGTTAATCGTCAGTGAGATCTTCTGGTAGATCTTCTGGTAATCTGTGGCGTTTATCTAGAGTACCGGTCAGTATGTGGCGATAGGTGTTCATCTCGGCAGTGCTTTTTGCCAGCGAATTCATCCACGTATGAGTGCTGTCACGAGGCCTGCACAGGTGGTTGCACAGGCCGCGGTGCTGATCAGTGTGTGGTTAGTGAATTACTCTTTTTTATAGAGAGTTACTTGAAAACTTCTGATGAAATTTACGTTTGTAGGCATGTCGTGAACTGAGCCTGGATGGTGTGTGCGTTCATCAATGCCCACCGATGATGATACACGACTCGAAAAAGGGCATGTTGATTCCGAATCCGAACGGTCGTCATATCTATGACAGATATTGTGTCGAAGAATGCCCTAGTGAGTTATTTCACGATACGTGCAGATTTTCCCAACGAAAGATTCCGAGAGGCTGGCCTGGCACATGTCATATACGCCACAAGCATTATAATTCATCCTCACCAAAAAAAAAAAAGAAAAAAAGAGGGGTGAAAAAGAGTGGGAGTGAGAGTGGGGGGGGGGGAAAGTCTGACGTTGCATAATTCCTTTAAAGACAGTCTCCGTGCTCAAGCAGCTCGTAAGCGTCCTTCCTTGTACAAGTGGTCTGGTCCTCACCCTCTATGAATGCCCCAGTTTCGCGGCTTCACAGTGAGTAACGCAGGCCCTGCGGATCTTATAAGTGGCAGTTCTGACGCCGCCCTGTTCCCCCCACCGAAACTCAGGCCATTCCTGTTACGGGTTCAGTTTTTTAAAGTTTTTTTTCACTGTTGCAAGATATTAGCACTGAATGAATCGAAGAAACGATTAATGGGCCAGATTTGGCAGCGTGTCCCTCTGCTGACGTAAAACGAGCAGGTCTGGACAACTCGTGCAGTGAGGCTAACGGGTTCCCGCTTAGGGTGTTTTGTATGAAATTTTCCAGTTCTTTAGAGTCAATCAGCTACTATATGTTCGTAATTGGACCTCCATCCACAACATGGGTTAGTAGTTGAACACCCTACAGTTCCAGTAAGCTCAATGATTGTGTAATTCTTGAAAGCAATCCAAAACAACAATCCAAAGGAAGGGGGGAGGGTGGCAATAGCAGTGCTTTGAATCCCGCTGTAGTCAAGCAAGTGGCAAAGAGGGAGTGGTCATAATTGGTGATATTAGGTGGTAGTGAATGATAAAGCGTGATAATGAGCAAGAGTGAACAGCAGGAACAGGCTCGTGGTAATGATACCACGTGGTGATGACTAAAAAAAGTTGGCAGCGAGTAAGGCAAACAACAGAGAGCCAGTTTAACCAGTTAATGACATCAGGTGGTAACAGATGATAAGGAGTGATCACTAGTCACGGAGGAGTTGCAGGGTGAACTGGGGGAAGGGGGGTCCACTCCAATTGCAACCCATAATTCTGCGATCTGCGACCGGAAAAGTGAGCAATGGAAGAAACCCTTGAATCATCAAGTGATGTGATCCCCTCTCAGCGGCCAATACACCCCCTATGCTCCCCTTGTGGAATTCACATAAGCATGATGTACATAGATCTCATTGTATGCCATCTTCAGAAGAACTTCTGGTGGAACGAGACGCGTGCGTTCGTCATTGTTCCGAAGGATCACATCATGATATGACAAAGGATTCAAGGAGATGTGAACCATGCAAAGGGGCCTGTCCTAAAGGTGAGATTGCTCTGCTGTTGTTCAAGTTTTACTAAGTTTATATTCGTTTTCAATTGATTTGGGTTTGCTCCTGCAAAGTTTTTCTGATAATTGCA